AACCTCTTCAGTATTGCATGTTGGCCTTCTTGTTTTAATGATGTTTAACAAATAATTTATCACTAATGTTGTTTGTCTAGTATTTATTTTTTCTTATTTATTATAGACAAACAATGTAGTTGGAGGATGGATGGAATAGCGCTTCAACGACGATATCAAATGGAGGTTGGCGGAATTGTGGAGTGAAGCATCGTACAATTCAAGTTAAAGATCAAGTTCAAGCTTCATCCGCAACGTGTACCAAGTCAAGCTAAATTGAAGATCAAGGTACTCTAAGCTCAATTATCTATACACACACATTTTATTAGTTTCCTTGTATATATATGTAATCACATATATATACAACACAAGTTTTGGTTTTCATGTTTATAAATATGAAATTACATGTTTCATATTTATTATTGTGATTTGGTTTATCTACATAGATATGAAACAAATATATTTTCATATACATACTCATATGTTTCATTTTCTATTGTATTTGTGAAAATATTGTATACTTAGTTTGTAGACTTCAATATCAGTTTATACATGTTTTACTAAGTCTATAAAAACATTTCACAAAGTTTCAAAAGTTGGTTTATGTCAAAACATCAAAATTCAAGTATCTCATATTTTCATGTTTTGAACTATTTTGTAAAATGATGATATTTTTCATTTGGGAAGTCCTTTTTCGAAACCAGTCATTGTAGCATGTTTATTATCATGTCTATAATCATTCCCCAAAGTTTTACATTTTTTGGAATTTATTTGATATTTTTAAACAGTGTTTTAAAATCAGCAAAACATGTTTTTCATATGTCAGATTTCGTATCAGATTTCGGTCGACCGAACCGGTTGATCTTTCATCGAATTTATTTGATATTTTTAAACAGTGTTTCAAAATCAGATGTACAGCTTTCAAAACTGTTTTTCAGAAGTATCAGTATTCGGTCGACCGCACCGGTCGACCGAACCTGAGTTCATATGCTCACTGGGTGACAGAGAGTCTGTCGGTTGACCGATGAAATTTTTTGGTCGACCGATGAAATTTTCCGGTCGACCGATGAAATTTTTCCGGTCGACCGATGAATTTTCCGGTCGACCGACGATGTTGTTTTCAGCTTCCAACGGCTAGTTTTTTGACCGTTGCCTTGGGGTTGTGTTTTGTCTTTTGCTCAGGTTTTTGGCTGAGTTGAGAGAGGGTATAAGTACCCCATTGCCTTCAACTCTTAAACTAACCAAGAGGGTTTTTAATCAAGTTTAATAAAGTTTTTAACAAGGGTTTTAGTTTGGTTTAAGTGTGTTTAAAAAGCTTTTAAGCAAATTGAGAGTTTGTTTTTGTGATTCAATTCTACAAGAGCTTGAGGAGATCATCTATTGGTGTTTGGGCATTCAACTATTCTCCCCTCCACTCTTGATATATTGAGAAGTTTTCTAAACTCTATTTCTAGCTTTTTTATATATTTGATTATCATTGTTATTAAGCTAGAACTACATTGAGTTTAGTTTTGATTTATATCTCTTTGTTCACACACAACCTTTTGAGCTTATTGTATTTACATTCATAGTATAATTTGGGGTTGTGGGTTTGTGACTAAGAGTTGTGCTTAATTGAGTTCTCACCTTGTTTTGAGAACAATCATTTGTTATATTTGTGCTTATTGTGAGAATCACTTTGTAATACACTTGTACACCGAGTGAGGAGTGTGTGGTGAGAGTCGGGGATCGTCCCAAGAGGAGTGGCGTCAGTTGACGTGCCTAGAGAGAGGTTGTAACCGAGCACTTGAGGGAGACACGGCTAGGTCCAACACTTAGTGGGTGTAGAGTGTGATTGCAAGAGTGTGAGTTGTAGAGTTTTTAGTTAGCTAGAAAATCGAGTGTGTAGAAGAAGTTCCGGCTTCCAAACCGGATTGTGTTAGTGGATTTCTTCCCGGGAGTGGGGAGCGGAGACGTAGGACGGAAGGTCCGAACTCCGTGATCATATCTTGTGTTTGAGTGTGCTTTGGCGTTTATTTATACTTGTGTTTATATTTCTTATCGCCATTGTCATTAGCTCATTATTTATATGATCCACTATCTAGTTCACATTGTTTACCTTTGCTATATATCTCTTTGCTAGGATATATCATATTGTATATTGCTTATCCTAGCTCATATATATTATTGTATTTCATACTTGCTAGGATAACTTATCAATTAGTTTTAATTGGTATTTAATCGGATTAGATTAGCATAAGACCCTAATCACCCCCCTCTAGGGTTTAACAATTGGTAACAGAGTCAAGAGGTAGAAGTTCAACCAGAGGAAATGGATTAGATGACAGGAGATCCAAATCCAGAAATCCCAACAGTTCGAAGGCTATCGAGTGTTGGAAGTACGGGAAAACCGGGCACTACAAGAATCAGTGCAGGAGTGCACGGGAGGAGTGGGAGGCAAATGCAGATGTGAACGTTGCTTCCACCTCAGGAGGAGATGATGCGCTGATATGCTCTTTGGAGAGCAAGGAGGAGTCTTGGGTGTTGGACTCGGGAGCATCATTCCATGCTACTTCTCAGAAAGAATTCCTCGAGAAGTATATCCCCGGAAACCTTGGAAATGTATATCTTGGTGACGATCAAGCATGTGCCATTATTGGCAAAGGTGTAGTGAAGATTAAGCTGAATGGGTCAGTATGGGAGCTGAAGGATGTCAGGTATATTCCCGACCTGAAGAGGAACTTAATCTCAGTAAGCCAGCTGGCTAGTGAAGGCTACACGATGACTGACTGGAGGATTTCGAAGGGCGCAATGACGATTGCCAGAGGTAGGAAGACTGGTACCCTGTATATGACAGCAGGTGCACGTTGTTCGATCTCAGTTGCGGCAGGCAATGAGACTTCAAAGCTGTGGCACCAGAGACTCGGTCATATGAGTGAAAAGGGGATGAAGGTTATGCACACAAAGAGAAAACTCCCAGGTTTACAATCAGTAGAGATTGATGTGTGTGAAGAATGCATACTTGGAAAGCAGAAGAGAGTTAGCTTTCAGACAAGTGGAAAACCCCCTAGGAAGCAGAAGCTAGAGCTCGTTCACTCGGATGTTTGGGGACCAATAACCACCGCGTCGATTGGTGGGAAACACTACTTCGTGACTTTTATTGATGATCACTCTCGGAAAGTGTGGGTCTACTTTCTGAAGAAAAAGTCAGAAGTGTTTGAGGCTTTCAGAAGATGGAAAGCCATGGTCGAGAATGAGACCGGTTTGAGGGTAAAGAAACTCAGAACAGACAATGGTGGTGAGTATGAAGACACCAGATTCAAGAAGTTCTGCTATGAGCACGGTATCAGAATGGAGAGGACCGTGCCCGGCACGCCTCAGCACAATGGTGTGGCTGAGCGCATGAATAGAACGTTGACAGAGAGAGCCAGAAGCATTCGGATGCAGTCAGGTCTACCGAAGCAGTTCTGGGCAGAAGCAGTCAACACAGCAGCTTACTTGATCAACCGAGGTCCATCGGTTCCATTGGAGCACAGAATACCAGAAGAGGTATGGTGCGGAAAGGAGGTAACCCTCTCACATCTCAAAGTTTTCGGTTGTGTAGCTTATGTGCATATAAGTGATCAAGGCAGGAATGAGCCTGATCCCAAGTCCAAGAAATGCACATTCATCGGGTATGGTGAAGACGAGTTCGGCTACCGCATTTGGGACAACGAAAACAAGAAGGTGATCAGGTGCAGAGATGTGACATTCAACGAGAAGGTGATGTACAAGGACATGCACAAGACAGATGACGGTGATTCAGAGAGCGAGTCAACATTTATAGATGCAGATGATGTTCCGGATAACCTCTCGGAAGAACCCAATGCAGAAGATCCTCAGCCAGAAGAGACTGTTGGACAGAATGGTGCGCAGAAGCCCGACGCACCAGCTCCGATGTTAAGGAGAAGTACTCGTCCTCCTGTGCCTAACAGCAGATACATGAATTATATGTTGCTGACAAATGGAGGAGAGTCTGAAAGCTTTGATGAAGCTTGTCAGAGTGGAGATGCGAGCAAGTGGGAGGTCACAACAAGTGGGTGTATCGAGTGAAAAAGGAGCAGAATGGTTCCAGAAGATACAGAGCCCGACGAGTTGTCAAAGGATTTCAACAGAATATCCAAGGAAGAAAGGATCCAGCAGATATGTTGACAGAGGTAGTGACCTCTCAGAAACTGGAGTTGTGCGCAACTTCAGTTGGCCTTCATGCATAGATGACGAGGGCGGAGCCACGCAAGAGAGGAGCTTGATGGGATAGCCTGTTGTCGTCAGTTTGATCTCCAAGTGGGAGATTGTTGAGATCAGGTGGAGACCAAACCTCCGCAGGCGAGCGGAGCTGCATGCGAGGCGAGCTCGAAGTCGCGGCGGCTTCAGGCGAAGTCGAAGACGCGCAGGTGAGCTCGAGCTGGGCGAACGCGATGGTGGCTTTGGGCGAACGCGACCCTCGCTCGACGAACGCGACCCTCGACACCGACCCCCGCGTTCGCCTCCCACCCTCGCGTCGGACATCCGCTGGCGACAGGCTGTCGCCCCCCCCCCCGATGCCCTAGCTCCAGTTGCTCCTCCTCCCCTCGTTTTTCTCTGGCGGCGGATCCCCCTAACGCAGTAGCGTTCTCCCCCTAACGCAGCAGCGTTCTCTCAAATCACAGCAGCGATTTCTAATCTCCAGCTCTCAAATAGTGTTTTGAGGGGAGATAAAGAAAGGAATTTAAGAAGAGAGAGAAAAGAGAAGAGGGGATTTTATTGTGGGTATTAACACTGTAGCTACAGTGTTAATTTGAGGAATCTCAGTTTAGAGATTCGCTCTTGATTTGTAATTTCTTGTTAGATTAAATAAGAAATTGACTTTGAGGAATCTCAGTTTAGAGATTCGCTCTTGATTTGTAATTTCTTGTTAGATTAAATAAGAAATTGACTGTGTGGCTCCCGAGGACGTAGGCAGTTGCCGAACCTCGTAAATCTTGTGTACTGTTTTCTATTCTGCGTTTCTGTTGCATTAGGGGTTTAGGCGTTAAATTCCCAACAGGAGGGCTAACAAATCAGTAAATCATAGTCCGAACACATTTTAATAACCCAAAATAATTCTAACTCATGCCCAAACTTCATCTAACCATAAACATATAAAACCAAATCAACACCTAAACCTTAACTGAACCCTAACACTAACCAAGGACATCAACCACATAAAAACCCCTAGAACAAAACACTAGCGACTCCGACAGCCACCACAAGGACTTGAAGAGGAACCAGAGCAGAAATGGCGACCACATTGCTGGAGTCGGGGCTGGGAGGAGACGTGCCCGGAGCGTGACTGATGACTTTGAGGATCATCTTCTCGCCCCGCTCGCAGTGGCCGGAGACACCGCTGATGAAGTAGAAGGTCCCGGAGTTGTTGAGCTTGTACTCTGTGTTTCCGTTGTTTGAGAAGAATACGGGGCGGGTGGACTTGCATTTCTCGTACTCTTCCTTTGTTACTACCATCACTGAGTCTTTCTTGTATTTGAATCCTGCAAGAAACGAAACGGGGTTCAAATCAAATATAGGAATTTTATTATATGCCCTATGTTGGGTAATGATTCTATCAGAACACCCCACATGAATGTGTGATTAAATAATACCATTCAGCTATGGCTAGAGATTAGGTTTATAAATTAGAAATCTTCTATTTACGATGTAGTTCAACACAATCCTATAGAAGTAGCTGTGATAGGGTTAATACTGTTGTACGTTTCAAGTACATGATTCTTCTCGCATGTTTTTTTTTCGATAATATGTTACACCCAAAAAAATAAGCATATCTTTTTATTATTCAAGTTGCTAGATCGAACCATGACATAAGGTGTTTGATCAAAATGTGGAATAACTGTCAAGTGTGTTAAAAAAAATTACAATCTTTAATCGAAAATGAAAAAGAGGAATATGAATAAAATTGGGTTATTGAATATATGTATGGAGCTCCAATAGAAAAACAAATTTGCATTTTAGAAATGTAAAATCCCAAATTCGTTCATCAATGATATTTGATAAGTACATGGAAATATTATTTCATAGTCATTTACCAAGAGCTATACAAATGGTCCTTAAAACACATGATCATTACCTATCAATATTAATAATTTTTAAGCCATATGATATTGTAGCAATTTATGGGTGATATTTCGTCAAACGAAGGCGCATAGAAGAACTGATCCAGTTAGTTAATAATTAACTAATTAAAATCAATGTTTGTGCAAATCGGAAAACTTGCATATTATGTTAGAAAAACATGTTGATTTCTAACTTTATCGACCATAAAACAACCTAATTCTAGCTCTAATAACACATTGAAAAAAATGGACTACTCACTACATGTTTGAAGTCTAGATGATCATAAACGAAATTAATTAAAGAAAAAAAAAATGGTATTTGCATTGTGACTTACTAACAATATCTCCCACATTGAACCTGTTCTTGGACGCCCACTGGTTGTACATTTCAGGTTCCTTCGCCGGAGGAACCACCCATCCTTTGTCGCCGCCGACGTCGAACTCCAAAGATAAAGCACTCATGATTGTGAACGAAGAAATGACTACAATAACAAGGACAAGCTTCACTGAGTTCACAAACATAAATGCCATCTTTGATTTCTTCTAAATATCTTTTTCTTCTTCTCCCTCTTTTTTATCTTTGATTTTTTTTTTCACTAGCGATCAAGTGAGATACTAAGAGTTAAATAGTAGAAATATAGAGAGAGGGGGTGGAAGAGTTAGTTATGAGATGAGAGGTGGAAGTAGTGGGAGTCTAACAACTCGGGGTTAATTAGTGACTAAGTCCAGAGTAGTTATTTAGGGTGGTGAGAATTGGCGGAGGTAATTTTGGAACGTGGAATTTGTTTGGAAAATTATTGTGGAATAAATAAATAAATAAATAGAAAGGGACATCTTCAATGAAAATAAAATGAGATAATGGAAGCTGATAGAGCTTGACCATGTGCAATGAATTGAAGGTCAAAGTGACAAGTTATGATGCTAAAGATGGGGTTAATGGAAAACTAGAGATTTAATAAGGAGTAGAAAGATACAAATATAAATCAATACAATTATAAAGGAATGTATTGTGTAAGGGGATTGGAGATGAAGGGGAAAAGGGATTCATAAGATCAACATACAAATACAAATATTTTGTGAAAATATTTCTGTGGTTTCTATTGTTAAGACGATGATAATGCTAGCTTAGCTACTAGCTAGGCGAGCTATCTCGAGTACTTTTTTTTGAACTGAAAAACAAGGGGAAAACTCCCCGTTCATTAAAAAAAAAGAGTTATTACAAAATAGATATTTACAAAAAGAGGACACGAACTGTAACCATTAGGTTAAAGAGATAGAAAATAAAGCGTCTGTAAATTAGGGATACATGACATTCTTCTTCCAAACATCCATGAGGGTGAAGAGAGGACATTATCGTCATTCACCACATGCATAGATATAAGGAAGAGTCAAAGCCAGCCATGCATATATAAAATAGAAACTGTGATTTCTAAGTTCTATCCCGAAATAACATACAAAAAATATTAACAACCAAATCAAGTAACTATCAAAGACATACAAAAAGTTTCCAAGAGCACATCCTCATCCTATGTTGCAAACATATACTTCATCCTCTGCTATGTATAACACTCCTCATACGCTGATATTGGGGATAGGGTTAGCTGTAAGTCTCATGGATATGCTACAGGCTACAGCTCCACTTGCCATACCTGACCATTTGTTAATATCAGTGATAGTAGAATTGATAATAGACACAAGAGAAATGAACATGATAAAAAAATGCATCTATTCCTCGATTTCCAAATATTCTAACATACTAATAAAAAATAGTTCTCCACAAAAGATCTTTCAATCATTGTAACTGTAGATTCTCCAAAATACTCAAAAGTTCATCACAAGATACTGACCATTGGAAAGGGAGATAATAATTTGAAAAATAACCCCAAACCTATTGTATCCCTTGACAAGAGAAGTAGAGATGTTCTCTTAGTTTCAAGCTGTGCATCACAAAAGAAGCAGGAAAAATCTCCTTCCCATCTTTTCCTCATAAGATTATCCTGGTATGCAATCTATCTTTAGATAACAGCCATAGAAAGAATTTGACTTTGCTAGGGAGGATAGAATTCTACACAATTTTGCATATAGGAGAAAGAACCCATTTGGAGTTGAGAAAAGAATAGAATGATTTAACAAAGAAGACTTCATTATTAGTAAGAGACCATAAAACTTGGGCCTAATTGCTTATCTAGAGAAAATGAAGCAATTAAGGCTTGTAGGGATGTTTTTTCTTCTCTTGTCATAAGAGATGTATTTCTTTTGAGTAGAGGATGTCAATGCCATTGATTCCCCTGCATATAACCCTGACTTCTAATAGACACATTTGATGATAAAGAAAGATTGTATAAGGAAAGGATAGAGACTTGCTAGAGAATTACAGCCTAGTCATTTATTTTCACAGAAGCATATGTGATATCCAGAGCCTGTATTCCAGGAGATGTGATTGAAGAAAGTAACCCTCTGTTTAATGATAGCATTCCAAAAGACAAAGTTATAAGCATTCAAGTTCTTATATTGAATGATAATGCCTCTATTGTTGTAGAGATAGTGTAGGAAAGTACCAGCAAGTGAATCCCTATTTAAATATTTCCATAGCCATTTAGAAATTAGGGATAGATTAAAATTTTTTAACTCTTTTTCCCTTAATCCACCTTTTTTACTCAAGCAGCCCACCTTCCAATTAGCTAGGCATTTGAATACCCCGGAGTTAGCCTTACCAGACCAAAGAAAATTTCTATGTATCTTGTCAATCTCCTTAGTTAGCCATTTAGGCAATTTATAGAAAGACATAAAATACGACGGTATAGAGGTAAGGACTGAATTTAGAAGAATAAGCCTTCCACCAAAAGATAAAGTATTACTTCTCCAAGAGGCTAGCTTCCTCTGTAAATTGTCCAAAATAGGTTGCTAACATGATTTTCTAAGTTTACCACAGTTTTATGGTAAGCCAAAATATTTAGGGAAAATTGCTTCCAGCCCCCAAAACAACACAGAACGTGCTCTGCCCCCCCAAGACCTTTTCAACGTCCTTTTACCCAAAACCGCCCCCGATTTTCTTCCAGCCCCCAAAACGAATCCCAGGCCACTTCCCGTTTTAAACACCGCTCGAATGCCCAAAATACCCTTCGCGCAATGTGTTTCGTCGCCTCTCACGACGAGAAACCCATCGTTTCGACTGTAGGCATTAAATGGTGATATGAATGACTTTTTTGGGGGGGAAATTCCCATTTCCCTCCAAAATTATCATCAGATATTATCACCAGCTATATCCCCCTTCAAGCTAAGTTGTTCCTTCCACTTAATTATCCTCATATAAAAGCCTCTTCGATTCTTCAACACTCCTGTAATAAAATGGCGGATGGATCTCTTCTATGCGTAGTCAATAGGCAAAAACAACAAAGGTGGTGACGGTGTATTCGTCTTTATCAAAGAGAATACAAAATATATCAGCCTTGAAATACTCGGAGTGGCCGGAAAGGCTTAAAATACCAATGCAATCTCTTCACCTGAAGTTCATATGCGAAAGGGAAAAGAAATTCAGCATTTCAATTGACAATGACGACGACTTAAATTGTGTTCGACGTATTGTCGGCGTAATGGATTTACAGACGCGAATTTGTATGCACCATCCGCTGCGCGAATCTCAACTTCGCAGAAACACCAGACCTACGCCGGAAACTGCGTAGGAATATACACTCCAGATTTCCTTTGAGTTCAACTGACTAGGTTTTGCATTGTTGTAACCCTC